GTCAGCCTTCACAGGCAGGGTGGACCAAGAGTGGATCGCCTCCTCCTGTAAGTATGACCACCTCCCTGTCTCAGGAGTGCTATAACCTTAAACCTTAATTACTTTGTTTCATTTTGTCCACTTTTCATTTGTTTGCTAGTAAAGAAGTGAAAGACCCACATGATATGATCAGAATATATCCATACAGTTTTATTTTCTGTGAAATGTTAGGAATATTGTAGTGATACTAAATGTTACCAATTCAGGTCCTGTCCTCTTCCCCGTCTGCTCTCCTCTACTTCCAATTGTGTCAAAATTTCAATCATTCTTTACCTACCTAACACTCTCCCACATAGGTAAGGCTGTATAAAATGTATTTTTAAACTTTATATTTTGCTTGCTTTAAAAAAAAAAATCTTTGAGTTAACATAAACTAAATGTGTGCCTGAATATATTTAAGAAAAAGCCATTAACTTTATTGCTGGCCAGTGTTTTGGATATATCTTTATATTCGTGGCTAGCTCTTTTGAGGAAATAGGTATTTTGGTGGTGGAAGAGACTATTTCTGATGTTTTTAAAATGCTTTTGGCTATTATATTGGTCATTTGCTCTATAATTGTCTTTGAAAAATGTATTTTTTCAGAAATTTTCAAGTTAATGTAAAATGCAATTCCTTAATTAAAACAGCCTGGGAGAAGTTTTGCATAGTTTCAGAATTCAAGCCCTTGTAATTTGAAAGAGTCTTCAGGTGGTTCTAACAGTAAAGAGTAGTTGTAGACACAACACCGCTCTGGGAAGAGGCATCATATGTGTTTCCTGAGTGTGAGTCGGCAGTGATATTTCTAAGAAAAGCAGGGTTTGCAAACTTGGAAACTGTCCCCTAAAAAGAAAATACAAATGTTCTCCTTTAGAGATCAAAACATGAATGTCAGATTTATTTACCGTCCAGTTCAGGTGGGAATTATTCATACTACTAAAGATTTGGGAAATATATTTAGACGTGCATCTTTTTAGTGAGCAAGCTAAAGCATTAGCCAAGGACTTTGACTACCACCTTTTTTTCCCCTTCAAATCAAGAAAATATACAATCAGCAGAATCTCTTGCAGCTTTGTGAACTGCCTGCTCCACTCACTATCCATGAACCTGGGGAATCTCTCTGGCATCATACTCCTCTCCTACATCAGTACATATTCTGGATCTTTTATAGACTGGAAACCCTAGAATAAATATTATGTTACAATATGTGGAATAATCTTTCTAAGTCAGAACTCCCTGGCTCTAAATAGCCATTATGCAGTAATTCTTTGAGACCTGGCTTACTGCCTGTAACTTAAGCTTACTTTTTATGATAAAAGCGTTCGTTGTGTTGGGCAGCCTGGGTGGCTTGGCGGTTTAGCACCGCATTCAGCCCAGGGCCTGATTCTTGAGACTGGGGATCGAGTCCCATGTCAGGCTCCCTACATGGAGCCTGCTTCTCCCTCTGCCTGTGTCTCTGCCTCTCTCTCTTTCTCTGTGTCTCTCATGAATAAACAAATAAAATCTTAAAAAAAAAAACATTGTGTTGCTTGAAGAAGTGGCTGTCAATGTGGAGGTAAAAACAACAACAAAACAAATCAAACCTAAGAACTTCAATATGAAAATGCAGTGTGGGGCACCTGGCTGGCTCAGTTGGAAGAGTGTGCGACTCTTGATCCTCAGGGTCATGAGCTCCAGCCCCATGTTGGGTGTAGAGGTGACTTAAAATAAAAGAAATGCAGTGTAGCTTTAGGATACTGTATGGTTTAACTGTATTAATAACATAAACTCTGAATATCGATTTCCCCAGGAATGTATATTCTCCTGTGTATGTGTGTGTGTATGTGTATGTGACCATGCTGGGAAAGGCTTGGGTGTGGTGAGGGAGCTGAAGGAGTCACCTGAGGTAGTGTCTAAAGTTAAAAAGAAATGTCTAAAAAGAGTTGACAGTAACTAGGAATGAGTGGGAAGGTTGGAGCAATGAACTGTTGGTTTTTGTTAATATGCTTTATGTACCTGTATTCTGTTGACAAGAATTAAATGAAAGAGGTGGTGTGGAAATGGAAAAGGGCCTAGGAACTTGGGTCTTTTCATCCTAGATTTCTTGGTGAGCTACTATATTCTTTTCTTTTTTTTTTTAATTTTATTTATTCATGAAAGAGGCAGAGAGAGAGAGAGAGAGAGAGAGAGAGAAGCAGAGGCACAGGCAGAGGGAGAAGCAGGTTCCATGCAGGGAGCCTGACGTGGGACTTGATCCCGGGTCTCCAGGATCAGGCCCTGGGCTGAAGGCGGCACTAAACCGCTGAGCCACCCGGGCTGCCCAAGCTACTATCTTCTGAAACTAAGTAGTTTCTCTTAGCTACTGTACACAGATGTGTTCTAATTAGAATAATATGGGTGTGTCTTTGCCTTTTGGACCCAATCGATCGCTTAGAGTATCACATTATAGAGTGTGCTCCTATTTTTTTGACACATACTGTGTGTTTTATGTAAGTCCCCGCTGAGTTCATCTATTAGAGGTCATTACAAAAAGAACTGCCTCTTCTCCATTTGGTTTCTTATTGAAAACATACTTGTGAATACCCCGAATTTCTTGCCTTCACCCCTGCAGCATATTGCTACTCCTCAGAAACTGTGTCAGCTAGTGCTTTGTCCAGGTTCCCCAAGTCAGTACTGTACCATAAAGATCTGGCTTAGGACTTTATAGCTGGTATCTCACACACAGCGACTGCTTGCCCTGAGTACTGTTGTAGGCCTTTTCTGTTTCCTTTGGGCAGGTACTGTTAGGTATGGGGATAGGCCCAGAGAGGGACTTCTTGCTTTTCTGAGAGAAGTGGGATTGGTTCACTTGTCAGGTGAGCTTTTCCCTTTTTATAGTCAGTTTAGGAATCATGAAGGGGAGAGATTTCTGGGAAAATCTTTTAGTAGTTTATTGGTAGCACTGGGAGGGACAAAGACTGGCACCCATGTTCTGTCATTTAACTCTGGCTCTACTGGGAACCCAGTGGTTTATTAGCCAATCTAAGAAAAGTCCTCACATGAGATTCTAAATTATAGCTCACATTTATTGAGCATTCTTATGCCCCCGGAATGTTTGAAAGAGCTTTTTAAGGCATCGCTTAATTTAATCTTACCCTCTGTGCTATGAAATATGTACAAGATGGGGCTATTTTTTATTTTAGGGAGAGCTAACTTTTATAGCAAGACTATTGTTTAGGTCCAGGTGAGTACTTAGAGACATTTGCTTACTGTATTACATGTATGTGTGGAAGTTAAAAACAAACTGTATGTTTTAGAGCCATATACATTGGGCCTCTGTAGATTTTAATATAATCACAGTGATTACACAGCCACCATTTGAAGTCCTAGAGTGAAAGATTTTTTATTTAAATGCATAAATACTGAGACATTTCATATGTTCTTAGAGGAGATTAAAAGACATGAATGTTTTTCTCATTGGTCTTCAAATTTAATGAAGTGTTAATAAGATTGAGAAGGATAGATCTTGCCAGAAGGGATGAATTTAAGAAAGTAATCCTAAAACTTACCTAAAAGAAGGTAAGTGAGAATCATCTAGAAAAACTCAAAAAGCAGAGGGATAAGGATTGATGCACCCTACCAGATAACTTATTTCAGATGTCAAAGCATCAGTGTACTAGTGTCATACTAAACAAACAGATCCACCAACCAAAACATTCTGAAATTTCAGAAACATTTAATACATGTAAAGGTGGCATCTAAATTAGGATGGTGAATGCTCTAAGTGGTGCTGTGATGTAGCTCAGTACTGCACATCCCATACCCAACATGAATTTTATGTCAGATCACATAAAGGAATGACACCACTAGACTTTCTATGTATAAGTTACAAGCCAGATGACAACTTTAACAAAGTTAAACACGTTACAGTTTTAAACGAAACTTTAAAAATCAAAGGCATTTAAGAAGCCATAATAAAAGTTAAAAATACATATGACCAACATTTGTGACCAAGGGTTATTACCTTTAATAGAGAAAGGAGCTCTTCATGTGAGTATAGAATATGAATTCTCCCTGGAGTCAACCAGTCAGAGAGTGCATGTAGCCATGTCTCATTGTGCTCTGAAAGGTCCAAGATGCAGGCTGGTTGTGGTAGCAAGCCTCTTAGCTGCCATTAAAAAGGGTGATCATGTTGGGTATTGGAGAAAAGGAAGGAAATTCTCATCTCCTGTTGGGAGCCCAGCCACCATTCCTGAACACAGTTTGGAGCCATGTATCCAAAATCTTAAGATACAGGTGCCTTTCCTCCTAGCAAATCTGCCAGTAACGATCCTTCAGAAACAGCAGAGATGGGGCTCAAAAATAAATGAAGCAGGGGTGCCTGGTCAGTTCATTTGGTTGAGCGTCTGCTTTTGGCTGAGGTCATGATCCTCAGGGTTCTGGGATCGAGTCCCATGTTGGTCTCCCTGCTCAGCGGGGAGTATGCTTCTCTCTCCCTCTGCTCTTCCCCTCCTCACCTGTGTCAGGTTCACTGTACCTTCTTGTCTTCCCCCCTCCTTGTGCTCCCATTCTCTCTCTCTCTCTCTCTCTCTCTAAAATAAAATAAGATAAAATAAAATAAAATAAAATAAATAAGCAGATTTTTGCCAAGCTGCTGCTGTGGCCAGCCATTGTGTTTTCTAAAATGATGACTGTTCCTTAGACAGTAAACATTTGATTCAGTGGCATGGTCACTGCAGTTACTTGGAAAATTCATTTATTTGTAGCACCTCATTCATGAACAGTGCAGAATAAAATGAGATGCTAGTATCATGCTAATGATCCAGCTAAGAGAAGTCCTTTTCATTTCCATGAAACTGGTAAGTGGTCCTGTCCTGTCTTTCCTCGCTGGCAGCTGTTGATTGCAGGCTCCACTGTATATCTGCATCAGAACTAAGGCACCCATAGGTTCATGTGAAGGAGTGGGTGTTTAGTGATGAGTGGCCATTGTTGCAGATTTCTGATCTTTTTAATGTTTGGTTTTCAGGCAGCTGCAAGAGCAACAACGACAAAAGGAGCTGGAGCGCGAGCGGGTGGAGCGCGAGCGGGTGGAGCGTGAGCGCCTGGAGCAGGAGCAGCTGGAGCGTGAGCGCGAGCGGGAGCAGCGGGAGCGTGAGCGGCAGGACCGGCTGGAGCGAGAGCGCCTGGAGCGGCTGGACCGAGAGCGGGAGCAGCGTGAGAGGCAGGAGCAACGGGAGCGAGAGCAGCGCGAGAGGCAGGAGCAGCTTGAGCGCGAGCAGCTGGAATGGGAGCGGGAGCGTGAGCGCAGGCTGTCAGCCGCTGGTAAGGAGCACGTGCCTTGCTCTCCTGCCCCGTGCCTGGGTGGGTGCCTGGGTGTCGGGTGCAGGGCCTGGGTTGTCGGAGCTCGCACAGGAGGGGCTCGGGGGCAGGCAGGACAGTCGGACAGGGCAAAACGTGCAGCACTTGCTGCTTTACCACTTTCTTAGTCCTCTCTCTATTGCATTTATTGCTTGGAGATTTGGGAAAGCTTTTGAAAAATGTGTAGTCTGGCTTTCTAACTCTTCTGAGGCCCTGTAAATTGGCTATAAAGTACAAGTGTTTCTTTATGAGAAATTTTTATATTGGGTGAATGTATTTCCCTTTGTGGTTGCTTAAACTGTCCTGAAGCCTATAGGATTCAAGAAATTTGCTTTAGGGTACTCTAGAGTTGTCAAAGGAGGAAAATACCCTCTCTAAAACTGACTAGTAGTTTATGTATGTTCTAGTATTGCAAAAAATTGGTGAAAATTTCTAAGTTGGATGGAATTTATTGAAAGACATAAGGGTTAAGAAAAAACTGAAAGTTTGAAACATTCATTAAAATGGACATTTATTGTAATAGGATTTAAGAATGATTTTTCTATTCCATATGGCCTATGTCAAAGGTCTCAACGTGGGTCTCAGTGTGGTTGATTGGTTTGTTTGTGATAATTTGTTCTTAACTGCCTAATTATTTTCTGGGGTTATAGCCAATAGGACAACACTTATCCACAAATAAGCATTGAATAGGGGGCTCCTAGCCCTTTATAAAACTTTTTGCCAGTTTCACTGTTTGTTGTTTCTAAAAGACAAGCAGATGTATTCTTCTGTTTGTGGTCGTAGTCCTATAATTTTAATGTCCTTCTAGTGGGCTAGATAATGAGAAGTAAAATATGGTCTTTTTCTTACAAAGGAGAAGTTCAGCAATTTAACTTATCAGTATACTTATCTGATAAAAAGAAAATTGATCTCTTCCTCCTCTGGGTCTCAGAATGCACGTATAGGGTAATGCGGTGCTTGGGTGAGGTCCGTTTCTGCACACGTGCTTAGTTGTTGGGTACTAACTGTGGTCTACATTTGTACATTTTGTCTGAATGCTGGTTTTGTGGCTTTACTAGCTCCCTTTTTCTCTCTCCTTTTTTATCCTGTCCTTGCTGCCGCTTCCCACCTTCTGTGCAGCACCGTCCGACAGCTCCCCGTATAGCGCGCCACTTCCTGAGTATGCCAGTTGCCAGCCTCCTTCGGCACCTCCTCCATCCTATGCTAAAGTCATCTCAGCTCCAGTGTCAGAGGCCACTCCTGACTATGCTGTAGTGACCGCTTTGCCACCTACTTCCACACCCCCTACACCACCACTGCGACACTCAGCGACACGTTTTGCAGCATCTGTAGGTTCAGCCTTCCACCCTGTTCTTCCCCATTATGCTACAGTTCCTCGTCCTCTGAACAAAAACTCTCGGCCTTCTTCTCCTGTGAACACACCCTCTTCTCAGCCTCCAGCTACGAAGCCCTGTGCCTGGTCTACTTCCACTGTTTCGCCCCTCCCTCCATCTCCTCCAGTAATGATTAGCAGCCCCCCAGGCAAAGCGACTGGTCCGAGGCCTGTCCTCCCTGTTTGTGTTTCTTCTCCTGTGCCCCCAATGCCTCCATCACCAACAGCACCCAATGGGCCACTTGACTCTATCACATGTCCAGTGTCTCCACCGCCTACCTCAGGGCCAGCAGTGCCGCCGCCGCCGCCTCCACTGCCTTCCCTCGCACCGCGCTCACACTGTGGATCTCAAGCCTCTCCTCCTCCAAGCACCCCTATTGCCTCAACTCCCTCATCCAAGCCTAGTGTTCTCCCTTCTCCCTCTGCAGCTGCCCCTGCCTCTGCGGAGACTCCTCTAAACTCTGTGCTGGGGGACTCCTCTGCTTCTGAGCCAGGCTTGCAGGCAGCCTCTCAGCCGGCCGAGACTCCAGCCCAACAGGGTAAGGCTTCCGTTGTTGCTGCTAACAACGCATCCTGGAAACATGGTGTATCAGCAGCTGTCACTGCCTAGAAACATGGGGAGGGTGGTTTTGATAGGTGAACAGCCCTATGTCATTGTGCCCCAACTTGCTGTAATTTAAACAAGTAGAAGGCTCTTTCTGCTGGATTAATTGCAGTTGGAAGATCAAGATGAGGAGTTTCCATATTAATTTGGATTTTGGTATCTTCCACAGTATTGTAGCTGGAGGGGTGTTCCAGTATTTGAGGGCCTCCACAACACATTCCTTTTTAGTCCCACTAGGAAAACATTACTTGACCCATTTTATCGACACAATAAATATATGACCTAACTTGTCTTCCTTTAATTGGTGGGAAATTTAGAGATGATACTTGGTGCCCAACTGAAGTCATTAGATGTGTCATCCTAGAGTCTCCTGGAACAGTTCTGATCTTGGGCCCTATTTCATTTTGGCCTCTCCTGTATTGGGCTTCTTACATTAGGCTAGATGTACCCCAAATCGTCAGGAGCAGCCTGACTTTGCCTGAGGGGTTGGGAGTATGGCAGGCTTGACGTATGCCCCAGTGGATTCCATGCTCCAGAATTACAAGAATTAGTGGTCTGAAGGGATAGTTGAAAGAAAATAAGCATCTTCTACAGTTAGCCCTCCCACCCCCTCCTCTTGTCCAGACCTTGCCATCATGGTAATAGAGGAAGAGAGGATGTAATCTTCTAAGTATGGATTATTTGTAAGTAGAGAAGGACCTGGTTGCATCAGTAAATAAGATGATGCTTGGCAATGCTTTTTTTTAAAGATAGGGTTTAGCAAGTATTACAGGAAGGAATATGACAACAAATATGTATGTAGAAAGAAACAGTGTTGTAGCCTAGATTTTAAATTACCCCTCTTTAAAAAAATCTTTGTTCCTAAGTAATAAGACTCATTGTTGCGTATATATTTTTCTTGTTGACTCATCGAATTTGCTTAAAAACTCAGAATTCTAGTACATGCAGACTCCTATCACGTGACAGTAATGCCAGACAAGAAGGTATAGTGAACCTGACACAGGTGACTCACCTGCTGTACCCTTACAGCCAACAGCCCGAGGAGGAGAGGCAGTCCATTGCTCTGTGTTCTCCCAAGAGCTGTTGGTATTTTCAGTTACAAAAAATAACCACCCAGTGTGCAAGTAGCATTTTATTTGTCCTAAAATCACCCTTTTAAGTCTTCAAGAAGGGAGAGTGCCTCCTAGTTCAGTCTTCTGATGTTGAATAAGTTCTTGTTTATTACTCTCCTTTGTGATTTTACAAGATTGGAGGCATTTCTCTCTTACCCCTGTTATCTAGACTAAAAGATATACTTCAGAGTCTGTATCACTTAATATTTTCTAGTAGTTACTTGGAAGTTATAGTTTGTTCTAAAAATTCCTTCACTTTAGTGATTCTGTACACATTGGATTTAAGGGGGAACACTTTTAAGACCCTGAACTGGGAACCTGCCCCTCCCTCATGTCCTCAGTCCAGCTATTTTGGCCACCTGTCACCACGTAAATATGGGTCTTCACTATTGTAGACTTGTCTGTCTCAACCTTTATGGGTTCACACAGACTCTTTGGGGCCTGGTACTTCCACCGGTACTAATTGCAGTCATACACATGGCTCCTTCCTTCAGGGATGGTGCCTCCGTCACAGATTTCGTAAGCACTTACTTTGTGTTTCCCACATCCCCATGGTCCCAAGAGATGTAATTAGATGACTGTCACAGAGTTCTGTTAATAAAGCTCTGACATTAAAGTAGAACATTATATACTTTGGCATTGATTTTAGCATCTTTTTTAACACTGATCTAGATTTAAACATTATGCTAAATGGAACTCACTTATAGGTAGTAGATGTTAGAGGCAGTTTTAGCATGGCATCCTGCAGCCCTTTCCACAGGATCGTATCCTGAGGCTCTGTTGTTGACCATCTTATTTAACATCTCTCTCTCTCAGGCATTGTCTTGGGACCACCTGCACCTCCACCTCCCCCTCCGCTCCCCCCAGGTCCTGCCCTGGCTCCAGCAGCGCTGCCCCCCCACCCGGGGCCTCCACCCCCCCCTCCGCTCCCCGCTTCAGGACCTCCACCACCACCCCCTCCACCCCCTCTTCCTAATCAAGCCCCCCCACCTCCCCCTCCGCCTCCCGCTCCCCCCCTCCCTGCATCTGGATTTTTTGCGGCATCCGCGTCTGAAGACAATCGCCCTTTGACTGGACTTGCGGCTGCCATCGCCGGAGCGAAACTGAGGAAAGTGTCCCGGGTAAATGTGCCTCCATGTCTCTGTGCTTTCTGCTTGTGCCAATTCTCAGGAATTGGGGCAGCAGATTTACTGTCTTCTCATTTCATGAACCCTTGTTATTCACTTCATTGATTAAAAAAATTGAGATAATTTATACATACAGGAAAGTTATGAGAATACAGTTTCTGTAAACCCCACCACCCAGACTCACCACTTAACATTTTACTGCTTGCTTATTATTCTCTGGGTGGGTGTGTTTCCTTCTGTGGGACACATACTCACCCTTTTTGCCTGAATTGAGAGTTAAGTCAGACACACCAGGCCCCTGTTTCCATAAACACTGGAGCATGTGGTTCATAGGAACAGGGACAGTCACCTGTGTGCCCACTGTAGAATAATAAAGATCAGGAAGTTTAATTGACAGACTGTTCTAATCTACAAATCTATTCAAATTTCATCTGTTGTCCAGTAATGTCCTTTATGACATATTTCTCAGCACATTTATCGGTGATGGCCTAAATTTTCTGCAATCTGGTTGACTTTGGTGAAACCTGCAAAACTGACTTTGTTTCCCTGATAGTTTCCTCAAGATTAGATTTGGATTATGCATTTTGGAGCAGGATACACATTTTTTTTTGCCACCAGTGATCTGTCCTTCTCCATGTATCAAACAGGGAGACATGTGATGATGTTTTATCCCATTGTTGTTGATGATAACTTGGATGTAACTTCCACTGATGAATGTAGAGTTCATGCCATTCATTCCATTGGTTCTTTAAAGATATTTAAAAAATAATATTTAGATATTTGTATTGAAATTAATGTAATAAACACAGGAGTTTATTATCTGTCTTTTCTCATTAAGATGGAGGATGCCTCTTTCCCAGGCGGAGGTGTGAACCCAGCCTCATCTAAGTCAGACACAGGTCGTGGGAATGGACCCCTTCCTTTAGGAGGCAGTGGATTAATGGAAGAAATGAGTGCCCTGCTGGCCAGGAGGTGAGTGAGAAACTGTATGAAATGTTTGGAATTGTTGAAGAGGAAATGTTTCATTTCATTTCAAATGAAATGTTGAAGAGGATTGTGTTCATTTTATTCAGATACTATTTAACTAGATGCAGTTCTTCCCTTATCAGAGTAGTTTTTATACTAAGAGAGTTAGATGAATTTTTTAAAAATCTGGCTTAAAAAAAAATAAAAATAAAAAAAATAAAAATCTGGTTTACCTTCTTTCTAGGAGAAGAATTGCTGAAAAGGGATCAACAATAGAAACAGAACAAAAAGAGGACAAAAACGTAAGTTCATAAAGAGAATCTACCACATCTGAAAATGGGAAAGCCAGGCGTAGCTCATTCAGGACGTGATGTCTAAGATTAGCTGGAACTTATAAATTACTTATTTCAGCTCTTCACATTAAAAATGGCTTATTTGAGCATGATGGATCAATTTTTAATAGCATTCTTGCGTGGTGGGTTGGGCATATGGATTCGTGGGGGAAATGCTCAGTCAGACCTGTTGAGTGAATGCTGTACCTTCACTAGATTTTCTGAATCTCTTAGGGGGTCAGTTGCCTTGCATTGAAAATGAAGGAATTAGAGACTAAACCAAGGGTTTTAAAATGTTCCCCAAGGAGCCCCAGGTCAGCTGCGCTTTATCTGCTCCACATGCTAGTGCTTGACAAGCAGTCTCCTTGCTCCCTGCTGCATTTGGGCTTCAGTGCCCGTCCTCCCACCTGCCTCTGACATCTGGCTCAGTAGCAGTGGCCAGTGCCACTCAGGGAGGTTGCACAAGGATAGGGACTGTGGGGGATAGGAAAGTCTAGGGAAAGGCTGATGAAGGACACAGTAGGAAATGGAGCAGGAGTATTGGAAATGAAGAGTGTAAGCCGTTGAGTCTGTGTGATTAATGAGTGTTTCTATATATTTAGGAAGATTCAGAGCCTGTAATTTCTAAGGCCTCATCGACAAGTACACCCGGTAAGTTTAGGAGATCTATTTTAACCTTTATGAACCGTCTTGAAATACTAATACTTCTCAACTCCATTTGCCAATAAAATCCATTGCCAAGAAACTCACATTCTCATTATTGAATGGTGACTATTCAATATTTTGATTATTGTGGTTAAAATTATTGTGACTTTGTGAATTGTTTTTCCTCTAAATAGGACTTAGACCGGATTGTTGATTTACTCTGATGAAAAATTCTCTGATTCATGAACTGCTTACTATAATAGTTTTGTCTTTCTTCCAGAAGCCAAAATTAATATATATGCTGTTACTAAGAACACAGGTAGTGTAGAACTCCATTGTAAATTAAGGTCACCATTCAGAAGTTAAAGAGCTGATTCCTCCCTCTCTCCCAAGAGGGGTTGGCCATATTTTTATACAGATTTGCTCATAATTTCACTCGTGCACTCCCTGAAGCTAATCTGGACCCCAAGCTGAGAACTTATCTAATACGGAGCCCTGCTTCTTTAGAGAGACCATGTACCTCCTGGTTTGTGGGCTTCCAGGGTCTTAGGCTTCGCTATCTGTGACTTTCCCAGGGTGGCTTGTCACATTCGCTTATTAATTTCTTTTCACTTTAAGGTCTGAGAGTTGTACAAATTAGAATCCTTATAGATTTTAATTAAATTTTTCATCTGTATTACTACATAAATGTGTATAATGTTACTTAGTATTTTGTCATTTGTTTTACAATAAATAAGTCTGGGAGCACATAGAATATTTCATAACTTATGTTCCCTATTTTTAAAGAACCAACAAGAAAACCTTGGGAAAGAACAAATACAATGAATGGCAGCAAGTCACCTGTTATCTCCAGGTATGTGTATCTAAATCATACTACACATGTATCTAAAAAGAAATGAACAACTACATTTTCATCATAGAAAAACTTAAATGGTAAACTTGAAATTGTACAAAGGAGCAGATAAAACCTGTAATCCTACTACTCAGTGGCTGGAAACCACTGAGCACCATTGTATTTTCCCTAGTGATTGTCTGAATTCCAACAGATGCTGTTTGCCAGGTTGTCTAAAGTTTTAAGATAGCTTTCATTCCTCCCAATTTTTTTATTTTGAAAAACTCAAAACTGTAGAAAAGTTGAGAGAATAGGAGGCAAATACCCATATATGCTTATCACCCAGATTTTCCAGTTCCGAGTTTTGCCACACTGGCTTGAGCTCTTACCTGTACTTCTATACATGTTCCTCTGGAGAGTCAGAAAGAACAAATATGTGCTCCTTTATCCTGAATCCTTCAGCATTTTCTCTAAGACCTGGGATGTCTTCTTGTGTAACCCCAGTACCATTATCACTCAAAAAATTTAAGTTTGAACAATAATATTTTATAATATATTCACATTTCTCTCATCTCAGTGACATCCTTCATTTTATAAATGTAATTTTTAAAAGAAATTTATAAAAGCAGCCGGACAAAAATTCCTGCACTGTTGAAGAGAGAGCAAAATAAAGCCTAAAGTTTGGAATTGGTGAAGTAGGAAGATTGATTTCTCTCTCAGTTGACACTTCTAGTTTTAATAAACTTAGAAAAGATAGTGTCCAGAAACAAGATGAGTTAATTTCTGTTTCTACCAGGTGGCCATGAGGGCATGGTCTTAGCAAATTTAGCGTTTCTTACCTAGGCATATTTTATTGCCATAACTAAATTTGTATATCAGGTCTTGAATATAGATGAAACTTTTTCCTGATTTATGAGGCAGCTTAGAGGGCTTACATTTTTTTCAGAAAAAAGGTACTGCGTCTAGAGACTAAAAAGGTTTTGGCCTTTTATTTCTGAGCTGTTTGCCTTATTTTTGCCTACCTTAAAAGCAAATTTGACTCTGATAATAGAAAACTAATAAAGAAAAATACAAGGACAGACCTCACATTGTCACAGGTCTGTTCCTGTTAGCCTAAATCTAAATTTGGATTTGTTTTTAAGTGGTTCTGTGTGCTGACAGGAAAGATTTGGTGATGACAGTTAAAGTTCCTCAAAGAAACAGCCTTTTCGACTGTATGGAAGCTTTTAGTTTCTCAGTGGCTAAAAGGTGAATGTATTTCATTTTGGGAGAAAATGCAGGAATTGCTTTTGGTGGACATGTTTTCGATAGAGTAGAAAAATTGCACATTAATGTTTATCAGATATCTGATTGATGTGGCCTTCCAGTGCATCTCAAGTAGTTTTTACAGACTTTCTCCACTAGCACATTTTGAAGCCTGATTTATCAAGTGCACATCAGAGCACAGAAGTGTGATGCTCCATGTGTCTTTTGAAGACATAAAGTGACAGGGAAGAATCTTTCTCTTGTGTCTACTCTTCATTCCTACCTTCCTGATAGTGGGTTCCCTGAAGCTAACCCTAAGTCCATGGAGGGATGTGAAGGAGCTTCTCCAAGTGGAGTAAGTTCCTTACTGTGTTTGGGTTCGTTTAAAAAATACTCTTTGAAAGATTTTTCAGACTTCTAAAGGAAGTTTAATAAGTGTTCTGAAAATCACCATTTAAAAAAGACTTTTCTTTAGGTTGACTGAATATTGGTTCTTATTATCCAGTAGTGTATTGATAGTCGTATTCTGCTCTGGTAGGTGGTTTTCTTCTCCGTTCCTGAAATGGAAATTTGGAAATGCCCAATCATTCCCCTAACCACTCATATACCTTTTGATAGATTTGATCCAGGGAACCCTGGGTGGCGCAGCAGTTTAGCGCCTGCCTTTGGCCCAGGGCGCGATCCTGGAGACCCGGGATCGAATCCCATGTCGGGCTCCCGGTGCATGGAGCCTGCTTCTCCCTCTGCCTATGTCTCTGCCTCTCTCTCTCTCTCTCTCTCTCTCTCTCTCTCTCTCTCTCTCTCTCTCTCTCTCTCTCTTTCTGTGACTATCATAAATAAATAAAAATTAAAAAAAAAAAAAAGATTTGATCCAGCCAGCACTACATGTCTAAAAAGTTCACCCCAAGCAATTTTAAGCCATAAAAGATTTTAAAAGTATGTTTGAAGGACTAAACTGTATGGCTTTTCTTCTCAAGTTTTCTCCCCTATTCCTTCCCCTATTCCAGTGTACTGGCCACTTGATATTTTTACTTACGGACACCTCATCCTTGCAGGGTGGTGAAAGTACTCCATTCTCTTACGAACATCCATGTTAAGATTATATTAGTGGTAGGATGGATTAATACCCTGTAATACACAGGAGATACTGCATGATGCTGTATTATTAAGTGAAGATGTCGAATGGTAGGATAAAAGCAAGAATGTTGTAGTTAAAATTATTTTAAACTATGACTGGAATGTACCATTGGAAAATTTGTGAGTTTTCATATGGTTTTCAGTAAGAGCTCACAGATATTATATTCAAAGCAGAAAAAAGTTTATATGCTTTCTTTCTGAGAGGGGTTAATTTTGCTTACTTCAAGCTTACAGTCATTTTTATTGTGTTTTGATACTTGTTGATACTTTGTAGGTAGCTTTTATTATGTCTACAGCCTATAAGAGTGGTCACTGCACTGTGATTGCCTTTTTGTTCTCTGTAATTGTCAAAAGGAGTATCCTTACATAACTAGAACTAGTGTCCAAGTACATTCTTTTGTATTGGGAAAAAAAACGATTGTTTTAAGGTTAATGGACTCCTTCCATTGTTTTGCTATGACTACAAACCTATATAAAACAGGAATATAGTGCGAATTATTTTTTTAAAGTTCTATTGTATTTCCCTTTAAATGGTTTTTCCCCTTCATAGACGGGATTCTCCAAGGAAAAATCAGATTGTTTTTGACAACAGGTCCTATGATTCATTACACAGGTATCATCCTGATGTGACTTTGTGATTTGAAACTTTGAAATAACATATTGAGGATAGGGCTGAGCTTTTTCTACCTGGATTGGTAATCACCACAAGGGAAGTACTTAGGAAGATTGAATCTTTCATATATAGGTTTATTTAGAAGTATTTTTTAAAAACACCAAGAAATTTTAATTAGAAAAGTTAGTAGTGTTCATTTCCTTGCCCTCATTTTATAGTTGGATCAGCATGAATGGTGGACACATCAACAAGGCTAGAATGGAGTCAGAGGCCACCTGTGTCTTCTTCAGGCCCTTTGTAGCTTTTGTATTTTATTCTAAAGGCTTTTCTCCTTATAAGCATGAGACAAAGCCTTTAAAAGGTAAAGTAGAAGATTTTCTGTTTGTTAGGGGAACATGGGACTATGTTATAGGCACACTTGTGAAAAATGTATTCCTGGAGGAATGTCTGTGTCTCCTATATACTGTGCAGTAGATTGAGTGCCTTTACCAATCTGACATCTATCATCTTGAGCAGGTTGTTTTCTAAGATGAGTCCTGTTAATACTGTTTTTTTAATTAAGAAAATTAAGAACCATGTATTTCTTTCTTAATTAAATAAATTGACAATTAAAAATCAAGTGTAAGCTTATATTTAGAATTGACTTGGTGGAACAGGGGCTTTAAATATTATGGTAACACAGAAACCCTGGGAAGCCCTCGTACTTTATAATCAATTATGGTGAAAACCCATAGATTACAAATAACCAGTATGTGCCCATGTTAAGTCATATGCACCTATTTTTAAAAATATGCATCAAGTCTACTGGGAGCTATGACTTAAATAGTATGTGGTGGGGTGTCTATGGCAGTGAGTCAGGAGTTCTTCAGGCTGCATTTGGCCAAAATATTTTCATGCCATTGATGATTAAAATATTTTACAAGTTTGTCAGCCAATTAAATCTGCATAAAATGTTTTATTACAAGTGTGAAATCATTTTTCCTGCTTTTTTCCAGAGTGGTTTAATTGTTGTGACCAAAAGACTTACCTAGAAAATTTGCTAGTACAAAGAAAAATAACATTCAGTGAGATACTCTGCTGTTAATCTTTTCAGTTCTCTTGCTGCTTTCCCATGGGGAACCCCTTGAGAGAATAATGTTGATAAACCTTTTTTAAAACGTGGTGATTACTTCTTTCCTTCAGTATGAAAAGTTCCCCCCTTTAGTTAATTATCATGGTGGTGGTGGTGGTGGTGGAGGATTGCATGTTAGCATGAATTAAAGTTTCTTAATTGCATGTTTCCTCAGTCGTTTGTTATATAACAATAATGTGTTGTATTATTTAATAAATATGGATATATTCGTATAATATTGCCTGGTCGGTTAGTAGACCATAGTTGCTCATGTGAAAGTCAGGGATATTTGTTACATAGCTTAGGAGAAAAGCATTCATTTGGTTATACCACTTCAATGTGAAAAGTAAGAGAAAAGCATAATAATTAAGAGTGTAGGTGTGGCGAGCAGTAACAGACAGTGTGGGTAAATGAAATACACAGTATGTGAACCATCAGGAGCAGTCCCTAGATCACATTGGGCCTGGAATGCCTGCTTTTCATGCACCGTGGCTCTCTGTACATGCTCTGTGTCCAGGGGATGCAGTGGTCCTCTCCAGAGGAAAGGAAATATGTCCTAGAAATAAGTGTTCTTTTCCCCCCAGTGCCTAGCTCAGGACACATTGAGTGAAGTTTCCTGGAAGTTGTATTTCCCTTGTTTATACAAGCAGAGCAGCAGAGGTCTCCTAAAAATAAAACTGGTCAACTTGCTTTGTATAACAACCTGTTAAGCAGTCATATGTTTGATATTAAAGCAATTAATTGAATATTTCATCCTCACAAACAGTGCCTATGGGTTTGGAGTATAATCTGCATTGTAAGAGTTATGAAATAATAACTTTGAAAAGTTACTGAACCAAGTCTTGGTTCACATTTGTGATATTGGTCCTCTGCACACTTGAAGATACATGACTTAGCTCTTTTCATCTGCATTGAGTTGTGGCTCTCAATCCATGGCCACTTACCATATGAAACCACAACATAGAGGAGTGCCCAGTTAAGACTCTAGATTCTCCCTGCCTGCCGGGATTGGAGAGGAGCCATGATTGGTTTATTTGATATTGAAACTTTTGCTTAAAAATACCTAATTTCTAAGGCTTATTTCTTCATGTAGAAGTTTTAATGGAAGCTATACTTCTGAAAGTACAATAATCAGCAAACTGCTTCTATGTGGCATTTCCTTTTTTTTTTTTTTCTAAGATGTATGTATTAGAGAGTGTACATGCGCATAGGGGAGGAGCACAGGGGGATGGGAGGAAGACTCCTAAGCAGACTCCCCACTGAGCACGGAGCCCAACTTGGGGCTCAATCCCAGGACCCTGAGATCACAATCCCAGCTAAAACAAGAGTCAGACACTTAACTGAGCCACCCAAGGCACCCACTTTTTTTTTTTTTTAAAAAACAAAATAAGTTTATGTAAGTAGTTGGAAACACATCATTTAGGTGGCATCTCCATAGAAACCTCATCTGGAAACGGCCAGTTAGATATGAATATACTTTTAGTTATCTCCCCCAACATTATTTGGATGCTTGAAATGGCATAAAATACATAGAATGAATCATGCTTATTACTAAAATGTTTTTTTCCCATAAACCGAGGCATAGAATTTGTTAACTGATTCATCTTAACGGTTGGTCTGACAGATGTTTAGTAGGCTCCACACAGTTTCAGGACATAATTGTCCTCCTTGGGCCTCGATGCTGCAGCTGGTCTGGGGGGTCCGTCCTGGTCAGTGTGCTGTGCGCAGCCTCGCCTCCCGCCTCCTGCACAGGCATCATGCTCTTCTGCCCTTCACTGAAGAAGCATCATCATCCCGTCACTATTGTCTGATTTCTGTACAAGTAACTGGAAGTACTAAGCAAAGTGAAAAATACTTTATGTTCTCTATTCAGTTCTGCAACTTTGACAATTAACTTTTTAATGTAATGTGTTTTTTGAGGAAAGTACTGAACTCTGGTGTTGGTAAATTTGCAATTTTTTGTGAACTCCTTAAACATCCCATGTGTTATTTACCTGTCCTGGTAATTCCATTTGTACAGACCAAAATCTGCATCTTCATCACAACCCAGTGCCAATGGCGTCCAGACGGAGGGGCTGGACTATGAGCGCCTGAAGCAGGTAGGCACCAGACGGCCACTTCCCTATGTGCTTGTTTGTCTATAAAAGTGGCTTCTTTGCTGGTATCCGGTAGATTGAATGCTCTGGAAAAAGTATAGAGTGAAGATATTTTTATACAAATGAAACAGTGACATTAGTACTAGATTATTTTCTTTAACTCTTCATTTTTTGGTTCAGTACATTCATGTAAAGTTCCAGCAATGGTGGGGCAAATAGTTCAATGGTAGAACATAAGCTTGACGTGTACATGCATCGTGTACTACTGTAAAGGAAAATGGGGCTGCACTTTTCACTTAACTTTGGCAAAAATGGACCCAGTGTATCTGGTTTGGGCAAGAATATGAGGGAGATGGGCACTCTCATATGCTTTTATTTTCTAGAAAGCAGGTGGGAAAACAAATAACAAAGCATTAAAAATAAATATCTTAGCTCTGAACCCAGCAATTTCACTTCCAAGAATTGATGCCAAGAAAATACAGCAAAAGTGTATAAATCTACAGCGTTGGGGAGGGCACAGTGGCCATTAAGGAATCATTAATGAGAGTATTGAATATTGAATTGTGAGCACTTGCCCATGATGGTGAAACAAACAGGTAACCAAACAATATGAACAGTTATCTCAACTTTATGAAAAAGAATAGCATCTTGTCCTTTTTTGGATACCTTTGCATTATTCACGTGCATAATCAGAAACAAAGGGGAAGGAGTGTTGATAGGCGAGAAGATTGTGGGGCTTTAAAATATTTTATTCCCAGAAGAGGTAAAATAATTTAAAAAAAAATTGGTAGTGTCAAAAAGATTTGAAAGGTAGGGCCAGTGTACTTTAGTAAGACAGACGTCAGTTTCAAAGACCTGAGCCCAGAGGAGTTGCAGCGAGCAGGGTCATCCCCAGGAGGCCTCTGAGAGCAGTGACCACACCAGTCCCTGTTGTAACCTCATACTGATCCACTTGATGACGTGCTGGCCAGGCACTGGCTGGAATCTTAGCACAGTGCTGTCTTCTGGTCCTTGTGGGAATCCTGTCGGATAGTATTTATACTCAGATTTTGCGTGACTGAGGTTCTGAGGAGTTACTTGGCTCAGAGCCCAGATCTTTCCTCAAAGCCTGTTGTCCCCATGAAGTCACTCATTTGTTTAAATGGTAACAAATGTTTGGGGTTCAAAAAAGGACCAAGAATGTTGCAGTGATAGGAGTCAAAGATGAATTAGAGAAATACTAAGAATAATTTCAGATAAATCTAATTTTTATTTGGAAAACTATTTGAAAAGTTAAATTGAGTTTGAAAAGGAAGCTTGAGGTCACTGATGATCAAGCCCTTATTTTCCTGTATATTAAAACATGGTTTTCTGTTTTTGAAAAACACCTTAAAGTAGATGTTTGCACACACTTGAAAACCTGATAAACTCTTCGCTATCTGAAGTAGTTGAGAAGAAAGGAAAAGTTTCATGTTCGGGCTCATTTTAATATTAATTTGAATAAGGATATGTCATGGTCTGTACTAATAATTTCTGTGTTAGTATGCTTATTGGTAAAGTGGAGGAATTAATATTAATTGGTAGTTTCAACCTTATTTTAAACATGAAAAGCTTTTTAAGGGGATGCCTGGGTGGCTCAGCAATTGAACATCTGCCTTCGGCTTAGACATGATCCTGGTCCCAGGGATCAAGTCCCATGTCGGGCTCCGTGTGAGGAGGCTGTTTCTCCCTCTGCCTATGTCTCTGCCTTTCTTTGTGTCTCATGAATTAATAACATCATTAAAAAGGAAAAAAAAAGAAGTTTTTTAAGAAAATGAACCTTAAATAGAGCGATTGAATTTTACTGGAGCTGTGCAGTGTTAAAGGAGGTAAACATATTAGAAACTAATCCATCCAAAGGGTAGGTGTTATTCTTCCTTCAAATTTCATCACCTTGTCACAGCCCTTTTAGCTAGCTGGCATGTGACACTATTCTCAGTAATTTGGGGGATAGGGAAGGGGAGAAAATCTCCTGCAGGCTCCATGCCCAGCGTGGAGCCCTGAGACTGGAACCCAAGCTGAAATCAGGAGTCAGACTCTCAAATGACTTAGCCACCCAGGAGCCCCTGTCCTTAGTAATTTTTTTAGATTTGGGGAAGGGGTTGTCCTTTATTTCAGAGTGAACTTATAAATACAGATTTTGCAGAATATTTGAAAGAGTGGTTTTCATGGAGGAAGGAGCATCTAGAGCAATATTGTTAAAATACAAATGGGGGGCACCTGGGTGGCTCAGTGGTTGAGGGTCTGCCTTTGGCTCAGGTCATGATCCCGGGGTCTTGGGATGGAGTCCCACATTGGGCTCCCCACAGGGATCCTGCTTCTCCCTCTGCCTGTGTGTCTGCCTCTCTCTCTCTCATTCTCTCTCTCTCTCTCTCTCTCTGATAAATAAAATGTTTAAAAAAAATACAAATAGGGATCACACAAGTACTTTAAAATTTCTAGTAGCCATATAAATAAGAGAAGTAGGTAAAATTCATTTTAATACATTTTATTTAACCTAATATAGCTAAAACGATATTTCAGAATATAATCAACATTTTAAAATTAATTAGGAGTTATTACACATTAGTTTCCTCACACTAAATCTTTGAAATCAGGTGTATGTTTTACACTGACAGTGCATCTCATTTTATACTGGCCACATCTCAGGTGCTCAGTGACTACATGTGACTGGAGCCTGCCGTATATCATACCATGTAGGTCCAGCAGGCCCCAATCCACCCTTGCAGCTCCAGGGGAATCTTCGATTCCTTGAAGCGTAGTTGGGCAGATGTGGAATTCCATACTTCCAGATCGCAGATTGACCAGGATCTGCTTATCTAGTTTACTTCTCTTGTTCCTTGGAAGTTTCATTTTGCACCACCTTTCAGACTCCTTCCAGAAAATGAGGTTAAAAAGCAGAGCTATTTATTATCTTTTCTAGAAGTTATCTGAATCCTTTCACTGGATGGCAGAATTATTTTTAGTTTTATGTTTTACATTAGTTTTTCATATTTTATATTCTTAAAATTTTATATGAGCAATATTTGTAGCATTAATTTTTCCCCCTATATTCCTGATGTTTTTCTGTCTAATACTTTAGGACATTTTAGATGAAATGAGAAAAGAATTAACAAAGCTAAAAGAAGAGCTCATTGATGGTGAGTATATAAGCAGATTTGCTGCCTTTGTAGTGTTTAAGAATATCCATTTTTAAGGAAATGCACATAAATAACCAGTTTCTTACTCAAGGCATAAAGCAGTTACTTTTGCATAGTATCCTGTCCTTCATTTGGCTTAGGATGTCAGGAAGGAGCCCTCTCCTTCCTACAATGGAAGTTATGTAAGAATAGTGATAAACAAGGTCCCTACGTACCAGGGTTTGAGTAGCTTCAGATGGAAATCCAGGCAAATAGGCTTGTCTCTGGATTGCCTCTCCTCATGTCCCACCCTACTGCTCTCTTGTTCTGAGGCTACAGAGTCTTTGTTCTTATTTTGTGCACAAAAGGGAGAATGCAAATGAGTTAAGTATACGTGTTGTGTGTGTGTGTGTGTGTGTGTGTGTGTGTGTGTGTGTGTATATATATGTACTGTCTTTGTGTTAAGAAAACAAAGTCCATGCAGCAGAAGATGCAGGGTCAGCTCATTTTTTTTATTACTGGGAGTTTGAAGACAATCACTAAGATTTCTTAGGAGTGAATCACTTGTTGATTTTACTTTATCATTGTATTTACTAGAACTATGTTTCCTTTTCCTACCCAGCGATCAGGCAAGAACTGAGCAAGTCCAATTCTGCGTAGAGAAACAAACCAAGGAGAAATAGGACTTTAGTCTGGAGAAAGAAGAAAGACCCCTGTGAACAACAGCCGTTAACAACAAACCCCTACATTTTGTGAGCTGTGAGAAGAAAGTGGAGACAAATAGTTGGAAGGAGGAAAACCAACATACTTGCAAGCCTTCAGACGCTATTACTCTGGCGATAAGCTATTTCCCTCCCAGTTTGCTGCTTTTTTCTGACCTTTTCAACAGGATGGAAGAGTTGGATGAGAGTTCCTATTTAACAATTAATGCAGAAAATACTAAACCCATCAGGCAAGATCGCCGTGCTTTGAAATATTTTCATGTCAAGACAAAACCGCACGTTTTTCACAATCCATTGCTAAAATAAAGAGGAGAAAGGCTTAAGAAGTTTGTTTTCAGAGAGTGCTGATGAAGAATTTAGCAAGTTACACTATTGTAAATGTTTCTCTCAGGTTTGTCTTCCTATCACATTTGATATTCCGTGAGTAATGGAGATCAGCCCTGTGTAGGTTAAGATCATAAAATGTGGAACAAATGGAATTGTATGTGCTTTCAAAGGGTGATATTTATAAGAAAGTGTCCTAAAAATGAGTTGTCTGGCTTGAGGAATCTTAGAATGATAGGAAGTCTCTCGAGTTAGCCTTCATGCAATTTTGTAGATTAAAACGTAAAATTCGTCCAGAATTTAAAGATTTAGATGCCTTCCTAAATTGTTAAAATGCTTTACCAAATCTATGACTCCTACATAACACACACCAGTGGTCAAATGTAAAACAATATATTGTAGACTTATTGTAGGTTTTCAACCTTTTTTAGATTTATGCATGTGGACATTTTTATAATGTAATTACAACCACCACAAAATTAGCTTTTTTAATTGCAGACAGTAATGCATGTCACACTAATACGTAGTGGCCTTTTCAAGGCCTGGTCCCAGGGAAAACATTTTGTAGAGTATAGGGGGTGGGAGGAAGGGAAGGAATAATTTTTCTTTTAAAGTTAATTTCTGCACTGTCTTTTTTTCTCAATTACCTGCATGAATAATAATGAGGAATATTTTGTGACTTTAATTGGTAAATATGTTAGCAGAACCAAGTACTCAGTCTTTTACATCATGTCTTCAGCTGTTCGTATTTTAACTTCAGTAATTTCAATGGTCTGAAACATGATTCTGAGCTTCACATGGATTACATTGTTCTGTGGAACTCAAAAATTTGATCCCTGAATTTGGCAGTTATTACTACCTAGGTGCCCTGCAGTTGGACAGGTGTTCAGGTACGTGTTCCTGACCAGGAAGCTGCTTTTGAATTTTGTTACATGGAAACACATGAAGTAGTAATGTCAGCAGCAACTGAGGTCACAGACATCACGTGGCAGAGGGGACCAGCGAGGGGCTCTGCTTGGTTTTCTTGTCATGATGGAGCAAGACTCAGGTGGTGGGAAGAAGGAACTAGATCCTCCACTCACCCCCACATGGGTGTGGGTGTGTGTGCGTGTTGTGTACACACATGCAGTGTGTAATCCACGCCTCACCCCCCACCCCCCCGGAAACTTGTGAAGATTAAAACAGGGAAGAAATTCTGTATGTTGCAAGGATAGTTTTGTTTTTTGTTTTTTTTTTTTTTAATTTAGGACATTAAAAATTCTCCAGGCTCTCCATCTTGATTTCTGCTTGTTATGTGCCATATTTGCTTTGAAATCTTTGATATCTGAAGTTTTACTAAAATTTTGAAGAAGTAATCCATTTTCATCTGCTTTTTAGATTTTGTAACCTCAGTTGGTCAGACAGCTTGTCGATTGCATAGTTTATCATTCAAAAAGATTTGAGTGAGGGAATTGTTTTCCTTGTTAAAATAGTTCCTGTTTCTGTAGAGACTTCAGTTTTAGAATTAATCTGTGATGGATGAGCGATCATAATTCAAGTCTACAGTTCTGTTTTCTATCAACTGTTCATTGTTAGGAGTAGGAAAGGCATTCAAGCGGCAGCAAGCCTCTAAAGTAGCGTCTTCTAAAAGAAATAGGAGGCACTTTGATCTTTATTATTGTACTTTTGGTTATGCAAACACTTTGATGGTATAAGTGTTTTAAGTCCCCTATAAATCTGGTGAGAAATCACTTGATTTTGTCAGTGAAGTTAGTCTCTAGTAGGATAGAATGCTGGGTACAAGTGGTCCAAAGTCAGATAAAAGACTACAGCAAAACACTAGATCTTCAAAAGGAATTGGTTTATGCACTAAATGTCTCGTGCCTTGGTCTGATCCTCACGGGATGTCTGTGTAACAGGACAGAACCAGTGCTGGGTCACATTGTGTTCCATCAGTTTGCGTTTTCCCAGATTGCTAACTGTGTTCTTCCAAGAAGTTTGATTCAGTCACTGTACACATTTACTGTCCTATGTGACAGTTTTGTCATTGTTAGAGATTTCAGTAATTAAAATGGGAAGCAGAAGCTTCAGTTACTCTCCTTTATGGAAGTGATGCTCCTTGGAACCCATCATGACGATGGTGTTCCTGCTCTTGTATGCTGGGTGTCTGAAGCTGAGTGCAGTTCAGGGGGTCCTTTCTGGTTACAGGAAGGCACTTCTTTCCTCAACACTGTGATCTGACCCATGACAAATCTGTCCTATACGCTATGTAAATGGCCAACAGTCCATTGCAAACCCACTGAATGTACAAATCTTAATGCCGGTGCTGAAATCTCTCCAGAATAGTCATCATGGTTTCACAGTTGGTTCAGAATTTGCAAGCATCACGTGTCAATCAGAACTGAAGATGAAACACTAATGAATGTTGGATTCCCATGCTTTAGGTGTGCTTCCTTTTTAGATTTTTCGGTTCTCTTGCTATTTTTACCATACTGTTTCATTTAAATTTCCTACACGCTAACTTCGTTTGTGTGATTGAAAATAAACTTGCAGTATATACATGTTGCTTGTTTGTGACACTTAGATGACACTATGAAATAATCTGTCGGTTCTAAAATAAGTCCTACTGAATGTGAAAAGCCCACACAAAAGCCCTTGACTTCACAATCTAAAGTTTACACAGCTCTTCACTGTTCCTTCAAGATTTCCTTAAAAATACTGAGTAATGCAGAGAAAGGGAAGAGGTGATTATGTGTCTACTGTTTGTTTGAAATGACTGTTATGTGTCCCCTCGGCCAGCCTCAGTGCAGTGGGTTACTCTTATCGTCAAGAGAGGGACAAAGGTTTAATTTTACACAGTTTTGTTCTATAGCATAGGTACTAGCAAAACTCATGCAGTTACTATTTCCCTTTATGTAGTCTACAAGGGAAAGAGCCTTAGCAAGCACTGAATTTTAAGCATAGTAAAGTCTGATCTGTAGTGTTTAAGTGTGCCGATTTCCCAAAGCCTTTGTGTGAGCAGGGACACTTTTTATCTGACTTCAACCCAGTACTGATTTGGAGTCCATTGTGAAATTCTGATGTCTTCATTAGAGGTACATTAACACTTGTCTTTCCTCTTTCACCACACCCCAGTCACTCTGACCCCAGTTCCTCCCATCCTCTCCACTTCTTTTGACAGTGTATCCCTGTCATTCACTGGTGCCTGCAGCCATGTCACTGGCCACAGTTCAAAAAATGCCAACCGTCTCAGGCTCTTCCCTTCATGTATAAATCACAATGCTCAACTACAAACTAGAAGTCACTTCCCATTCAGAAGTGAATTAAGCAACATGGGGCACCTGGGTGACTCAGTTAAGCATCCAACTCTTGACTTCAGCTCAGGTCATGATCTCCGGGTTGTGGCAGAGAGCCCCATGTCAGGCTCTCGGCTCAGCATGGAGCTGCTTTCTTCCTCTGCTCCTGCCGCCATACTCTTAATAAGTAAATAAAACCTTTAAAAAAGAAAAAAGTGAATTAAGTAACCTTTTCAATTCACCTAGCCACTTCCATGTCACCTAAGATGTGTATATACTTTCAATGCCATTGTGAAGAGTTGGGCTCTCGATTCTAAGCAATATCCTATGGAGCAGAGTTTACAAAGGAATGTTGCATCATAACTTCATAACCCTGTCACCTTTGAATCTGTCCATTGGGGTCCTGGGTGCTCAGTTGGTTGGCTCGGTCATCTGCTTTCTACTCGAGTCATATTCCCGGGGTCCGGGCTCAGGCCCTGCTCCAAGGGGAACCTGTTTCTCCCTGTGCCCATGCTCACTCACTCTCGCTCACTCTCACAAATAAAAAAAGATCTAAAAAGTCTGTGAATTGGTAGCATGAAAATGGCATCACGTAAAGTGTACTGTGTGAAAGAACTCTCCAGGGGCCTTTTTGTCGCTTTCCTATCACCCCGTTTCCTAAAGACGTTTACTTCAAAACCCCAAACCTGTTGTATGCCATTTTTGTTATTACTAGAAAGATGAATGTGTGTCTGTACATCACCTCAGAACTCTGAGGGATGAGAAAGGAGTCCCCAGAGTGCATCAAAAGCATTGATGCTTAATATCTCTAACTTGTCACTGAAAAGCTGTTTAGTGTTTATACTTGGGTGCTTCTGAAGTTGTCAGAACTTGAAGCATGTGTAAGGACCTGTGAATCTGAGTGAACAGAATTGCTTTAGGTGCCTGCAGCTACATGAAGACATCGTGAAGAACGCTGACTTTCAAGAGTAGCTTTCTCTGGCGTCTCAGCACATTTGATGAAGATGCTCAAGCGGGCAGCCCTCCAGGGAAGGACGTTTACCTGATGGAGCACTGCGGGGGAGGGGGGGGACGACGACCCATGCTGCAGCCTCTCAGGTCCCAACATCCAGGTGGGCCATGGGCTTCCCATGTCCCCATTATGTTGTCTCTGTATAGTTTTTGAGAATCAAAGAGATTTTTATATCCTGGTGATATTAGAAAAGCGAAGCCTTCAACTTAAGTCTAAGCTTGCTAAGAAAAGGCTACCACAGTAAATGGAGTGTGGCGGGGGTGTTCAGCACCTCCTACCTGAGCAGCCGCACTGTGTTCACCTGAGGGGCATCTGGGGTCTTCCTTGATGGACACCCATTTAAACACTGCTCAAGTACAAACTGTGAATGTACTTGCCTTCCTAAATAGTTCTTTATAAAGCAAGTTTTTACGAGAGGGCAAATCAGTGAATTGATCGTAGGGTATAAAGGAATGACTGCCACATTTATTCATTAATCGTGTTAAATTTGAAGAAATCAGGGATGCATGGGTGGCTCAGTGGTTAAGCATCTGCCTTCAGCTCAAGGCATGATCCTGGAGTCCCCGGATCAAGTCCCACATCGGGCTCCCTGCATGGAGCCAGCTTCTCCCTTTGCCTGTGTCTCTTCCTCTCGTTGTATCTCTCATGAATAAATTAATTTTAAAAGTTTTTAAAAATTAAAAATTTGAAGAAATGAGATATGTGAAGACAGAGGAAAAAATATATTTTTCCTTTGAATTATTGTAGGTGAGTGCTGCTCAGAAACTCCCTAAACTGAAGGCACCGGCCACTAGATGCGAGAGAACGCAACTTTTCCTTTTCAGTAACGGTTTATTCAGAGGACTAAGTTTGTATTTATACCATAAATGAAAAATCTGTATGCAGACAACAACCTCCACGTTCCTCATGTGTAAATTTAACTCTTTCCTCTTCGCTTCCAAGAATGATTTCTTTCCAGTAGGTAGCAGAATTTTTTAAACCCATGAAGAAAACATTAATGTAGCGAATAATGTCCTGTGGGTTGGTTCATTTTCCTAAGTGGTGGTTAGGAAATCCATCCTTCCAGGAAGGCGTGGGGAATGTGCAGAAAAGCACACTGCTGGTCCTTTGGACTACGTGAGAAAGGATGCTTGGAGGAGGAGAAATCTACACTGAGGGGTATTTAATCCTCCAGCAGGCACAAGAATGTGTTCTGGTTGGTAAAGGCCAGGAAAAGACGATTTTGGCCAACACTCTGAGCACACACTGTTGTAACCATGGGACATGCGTGCCACAGGTGGGTTATTAACATTGGTTCCTAAAACTACTAACATTCCATGCCCTGAATCACACCTATGGAAATTGTCTTTTTTTTTTAAACATTAAAGGCATTTTTAAATATCTTTCGATTTGCTTCATTACTTTTTAAGTGAGAAATAACCTAGGATTTACATTACCCCCCTCCACACACACACACACACACACACACAGTGTGCACTGGGGGGCGCACATGGTCTATCCTGCCTGCCCTGGCAAAAGGCACCAGGCAGCTCCCGAGTTTCCCTGGCCCCACACATGCTCCAGTCTGGCAGCATCTGTGCTCCAGGTAGGCTGCCTCCGCAGAGCTGGCCAGCCGCCGTGCTGATGCTGGTCAGGCCAGACCAGTGAGAAAGGGATGGAGCGTCCAGAGCAGCCCTGGGAGGCTCTGTGGGAGGCATGGACATGGTCTCCAGGATCTTCAGGGAGGAGAATTTCCCCGAGAAAGGTCTGGAAGCATTTAGATACTTAGCAAAGTGCCGTACTAAAGCCTGTCATTGTTCTTTCTACCTACTACCAGGTGGGGCAGGTGGTGTTCCCGTGCCGGTGCCTTCCTTGGATCGTGCCTCGCCGTAGGTAGTGTCAGCTGCTGGTGGTGACACTGGGCTTAGTGCCGTCTCTGGAAGGGAGCGGTGTGTAATGCCCAGTGCTCCCGTGTCGCTGCCATCATCCTGCCTGCAGGTGGGGCCCTGTGGGCTCTGCTCGTGGCCATGAGGCTGCCATCCAGGCCCCTTCCCTCTGGGCCTCACAGGTTGCTTCTGCTTCCACGTTTCCTCTGTGGCCACTGGTTGGTTGCTTAATTTTTTTTATCCAGCAGAAAGGAAAACCCTGACTTTGTTCTCTGATCTTCAGCGCACATTTTAAGTGTTCTAAATTAGACCCTAATCACCGAGAAACACCCATCATAGGTGGAACAATAAGGAAAAATTGGTGAGGTGATCGTTGGGGTCAGTGCTGTCACATAAGGCTGGTGGTGCCTGAGGGGATGCCGAGTGTCCTCTTCACAGCGTTTGTGTGTCCTGGTCCCAGCCCTGAACCCTAGAGCTCATACTGCTCCTCACAAAGACCAGGTGGCACGGTGCCGTGGGATCTCAGGAGATGGTTGACGACAGGACATCCTTGTGACTTTCCACCCAGGAGCTGCCTCAGTGAACAGACTCGGCCACATGTGGTGAAGCAGCCCCTTCCTGTTTCTTGGGGAGGAATGCACTTATGGGGATCCCTGGGTGGCGCAGCGGTTTGGCGCCTGCCTTTGGCTCAGGGCGCGATCCTGGAGACCTGGGATCGAGTCCCATGTCGGGCTCCCGGTGCATGGAGCCTGCTTCTCCTTCTGCCTGTGTCTCTGCCTCTCTCTCTCTCTCTCTGTGTGACTATCATAAATAAATTTTAAAAAAATTAAAAAAAAAAAAGGAATGCACTTATGTTGACGTTGCCTGTGCGCCCTGCTCTTGATGCAGCAAGGGAAGCACACGGTTGCAGCTCCTTGCCAGCTGCTCACTTTAATCCAGGGGTTTCTTGACTGTTTGAGGTAGTGTTGTCCTGCATCCTTTGTTGGCCTTGAAAAGGTGAAGGTCAGTTGACCTTGACAAGGTGAAGGTCATTAGCACAAAGCCAGAGGTTGACCTGGACAGTTTGGGATTACAAAGGTGAGCCCTGTTCTATAGACATTCTTTTAGCTTAGTTCTAGGTGGGATGCATGTGTTCTGGAATTCTTTTTTTGTTAGATATGCTTTTCGTTTTATGAGTGTTTCTTTTTTGGGAAAATGGAAGTGTTTCTAACAAAAGTGAATGAGCTAGAAAGAAAATTCTATCTTGAGCCATCTGTAGTTGATGCAAAATATCCCAAACTCAATTACAGTATTTACATATTTTCATAGATTTTTTTTTTTTTTTTTTTTTGGTTTTCTTGATAAGGCTGAATGAGGAAGCCTCCCCGAAGTCTGTAATTATAGAAACTCGCT